ATAAAAAGTATTGTAATATATTATAATATAAAAAGTATTACACAAATCTACTCTCGCGATCCATATCAATTGTACTTTGTAACCATAAATGTCATTTCCACCACATGCTGTCATTTCCAGCACAGAGGGCAGTGCGGCGGAAATGACATTTCTGTAGTTTTTTGTGAAGAAATGGAAGATAGCTTCACTGATTAGCTTTGAATTAATACTTAGCATTTCATGTATGCAAAATACTCTTATTTAACTTAACATTTGTAGCTTTTTAAAAACACCCTTGAAGGTACGGCATGTTTGGAAATGACGCAGAATAAATATATTAACTGATCAAGCAATATTTACCTTGATTTTTCTTCATGTGTTGTTGATGAACATTTAAATCCCCTCCATGTGCAACATGTGCTCTGATGTCACTGAACATTCCCATAGAAGCCACCGAAACAATGTTTCACACACACCTGTTAAAGAGACATTACCGTGTTGTGCTGGAAGTGACACCAGTACTGTGCCACAGCTATATTTTGTATAGAAAGTAATATTGATTGTGGTCTCACATTAAATACTATTATGTATTTTAATTATTTTACTAGTGCTTAATTCAGGTACATTAATAGTTAGCAGATAAGTCATATTTTTAAACTGTATTTTCATTGTTGAAGTTTAAAAGTCTGGGTGTGCGACGAGGAGAAAACAGTGATTTTGACACCTATAAGGAGGCTGAAAAGTATGAAAAAATCATAATAGAAAGGTAGTAAAAAGATTTTAAGGTGGTTTTATTGTTAGTTTGACTAAGAAAGAGGAATTTGTCCAAAATGATTTGTATTTTTATAAACATGACCAAAGAACATGAAAGTGCCCATAGTCTAAGAATCACCCAAAAGTCTTCCTCGTGTGCGTTACAGAACACGCAAGTATTATCATGTCCAAGAATTTAGAAAGAGCCGCTTACATGGGTACATCGTGTGAAGTATTTTGAAACGTGCCACTTTAACTTTGTTCAAAATACAAGACGAGTAAGTATTTGAGCAGACGCGCGTGACGTCACGCCTGCCGCGGAGCTGCGTCTACAGCGCTCAGTGACGCGCCTGCGCACGCTCCAGCCGTCTGTGTGCTCCCCAGAGGAGGCTCTCGGCTTCCGCGCGATGGAAAACTCGACTGTCAGCAGCCGGCTGAGGACTGCGCTCTTCAGTCACGGTGAGGGACGCCTTTCTGTCTCAAACACGGCGCTATCGCGTCGCACTCCTGCGGGAGAGACTGCGCACAGTGAGCCCAGCTGATGCTCTCATCCACAGCTTCACCAACAAACCTAACTCAGTGACGGAAGCCGGGAGAAGTCCACAACTGTTTCTGATGCGTTTACTTCAGACGCACGAAGTGTTCGCAGTGGTTTAACTTGCTGCCTTTATCTGTCGGTGTAATAACCATAACTCACCTCATGCTGTCAGGTCAGAGCTCTGTGTGTGCTGTCTGCTAGTGAAGGCTGAGAGACTGGTTATTGCACGGGTGAAGCGCTGAGAGACTAGTTATTGCACGGGTGAAGCGCTGAGAGACTGGTTATTGCACGGGGGAAGCGCTGAGAGACTGGTTATTGCACGGGTGGAGCGCTGAGAGACTGGTTATTGCACGGGTGAAGCGCTGAGAGACTAGTTATTGCACGGGTGAAGCGCTGAGAGACTGGTTATTGCACGGGGGAAGCGCTGAGAGACTGGTTATTGCACGGGTGGAGCGCTGAGAGACTGGTTATTGCACGGGTGAAGCGCTGAGAGACTAGTTATTGCACGGGTGAAGCGCTGAGAGACTGGTTATTGCACGGGGGAAGCGCTGAGAGACTGGTTATTGCACGGGTGGAGCGCTGAGAGACTGGTTATTGCACGGGTGAAGCGCTGAGAGACTAGTTATTGCACGGGTGAAGCGCTGAGAGACTGGTTATTGCACGGGGGAAGCGCTGAGAGACTGGTTATTGCACGGGTGGAGCGCTGAGAGACTGGTTATTGCACGGGTGAAGCGCTGAGAGACTAGTTATTGCACGGGTGAAGCGCTGAGAGACTGGTTATTGCACGGGGGAAGCGCTGAGAGACTGGTTATTGCACGGGTGGAGCGCTGAGAGACTGGTTATTGCACGGGTGAAGCGCTGAGAGACTAGTTATTGCACGGGTGAAGCGCTGAGAGACTGGTTATTGCACGGGGGAAGCGCTGAGAGACTGGTTATTGCACGGGTGGAGCGCTGAGAGACTGGTTATTGCACGGGTGAAGCGCTGAGAGACTAGTTATTGCACGGGTGAAGCGCTGAGAGACTGGTTATTGCACGGGGGAAGCGCTGAGAGACTGGTTATTGCACGGGTGGAGCGCTGAGAGACTGGTTATTGCACGGGTGAAGCGCTGAGAGACTAGTTATTGCACGGGTGAAGCGCTGAGAGACTGGTTATTGCACGGGGGAAGCGCTGAGAGACTGGTTATTGCACGGGTGGAGCGCTGAGAGACTGGTTATTGCACGGGTGAAGCGCTGAGAGACTAGTTATTGCACGGGTGAAGCGCTGAGAGACTGGTTATTGCACGGGGGAAGCGCTGAGAGACTGGTTATTGCACGGGTGGAGCGCTGAGAGACTGGTTATTGCACGGGTGAAGCGCTGAGAGACTAGTTATTGCACGGGTGAAGCGCTGAGAGACTGGTTATTGCACGGGGGAAGCGCTGAGAGACTGGTTATTGCACGGGTGGAGCGCTGAGAGACTGGTTATTGCACGGGTGAAGCGCTGAGAGTTTGAGACGCTTGCCAGTGCTGGGGAGTAACTAGTTACATGTGACAGAATTAGGTCACTTAATTACAAAATAAATGTAACTGTAATCAGTGGCAGTTACTGAGAGAAAAAAAGCGTAATTAAAGTTATGAAAATATTAATGATTACATATATTCACATCTGAATATTTTCACACATATACAGATGTAGTTGATTTCTTTCATAAATCGCATTGACTGCTCTAAAATATGAGACACATGCTCATGCGATCACTGTGTTATTCCCTGTTTGGGTTTATATGCTTTATTTTTAAGATGAACAGTTTGTCCAAGACACTGTCAGATATCAGTGCTTCGGTCATAGCTGTGAAAAGATTTGATTTCAGAAACAGTATCATAGCTACTAAACTATATCTTGTGATTTTAAACCTGTATTTATCCTCAGAACGATCTTAAGGTAAAAAGAGGAGCTAAAGTCTGATTCTGTGGTGGCTGTGCTTCAAAATGAAAGAATTATAATCTTAAAGTGAAAGTCTGACAGTAATCAGAGCACTACTGTAATGTTACCCTGCCTGCTTTACATGCTTCAATATTATTAACTGTTGAAAACATGCTTTAGGTATTTAGAAAAAAGTAATCAAATGGAATCAGTTACATTACTTTAATAAAGTAATTGAACTAGTTACACTACTTATTACTTATTTAAATAGGGTAACTTGCAATCTGTGACCTGATACATTCCAGACTAAGCTTCTGAACGCTGTCTGATGTGGTGTTCTTCACACAGTGTGTGTGTGTGTGAGTGTGTGAGTGTGTGAGTGTGTTCAGTCTCTGACACCGAGGTACAGTGTTGATGATCACATGATCAGATTCTGGGAAGCACAGTGCAATGGAAGGAGATTCCAGCAGCACTGGTTGATAAGACGCTGCAGAAGGAGAGGAGAGGTGTTACGTCACGATCCTGTGGAGAGAAGAGCGGGCAAAGCAAGCACACTAACTGTTGACCATCTGCACTCACGCTGCTGTAAGCCGCTCTGTCCAGCAGGACCGATGCCTCCTGCGCAGACAACACACAGTCAGACGTTTGCAGTGACTCTGATCTCAATAGATCGCTGTTATATTACTAGTACTGTTACTGCATCGTGACATGACCATATGAGATGCTGCATCCCACAATGCAATGCACTTGCACTGCTGTTTGAATATCTTTATGATTGCACAATGTGTACAGTGTTTTACATGCTATTTAAACAATAGCCAGCAGTGTTGCGAGTATTGCAGCTGATGCAGCATGCTAGTGTTCGCTTCCGAGCTCTACAAGCCATCAGCGCCGTCGAGCATCATCTGACTGCAGGGTCACATGCAGACACATGCAGACAGCAGGAGTATATGCACAGACAGCAGAGACCTGGCTTGTAGAAACAGAGCAGAATTATGTTTACAGAGAAAGTCTGCTGGAGGATTCAAAAGAGAAGCTTTCAGAAGAAATCTCGGGTAACTGCATGAATTCACCATGGGTTAAGATTAGGATTGTGCTTCTTATTACCCAGTTATTGTATAGTAAGAGTTGTTATTATACTGATACAGTGCCCGTCCTTTTGCAGGTCCTTTTCTCCTGTTCTTGTTTGACTGAAATTCTCTTTTCTTTATGAAGCAGTGTAAAAGGCCCCGGAGATGCATGTGTTGTGCATGTGCTCTCCATCTGTGAAGGTTTAACACGTAAGATCAGGAAAATGTCCATCATCACACCACAGCAATCCAGACGACGCGCTCGAGCCTTGCACTGATTTTGACTGCAGTATTATTGTGTCTCGTTGGCATTATTTCGAGTGAGTTTGATACTGAAGTGTGTTTTCTGCTCTCTCTCTCTCTCTGGGTTGCTGGTGCTGTCGGATCTGTACTCGCCTCGCGCTCGATCAGATGATGAGGTAAGCTCTCTAACCGCTGTGTGATGATTTATGATGGAGAATAGTAGCACACTGTACTGCTCATACTGTACTGTATACTGCAGCGGTTTACTTTTATTCACGATCCTAACCAAACTGGGGACGCCAAATGCAAACGTTAGAGAATTCTTTACTTAAAGCCTTTATGTATAATGCATTATAAAAGTCGTTATAATACATTCATTATGCCTTGTACCTTATGCACCTTATAATGCATTGCACAATCTTGTGAGTAATTGTAACCACAGTTTATACATTATAACACTTATCAATTCATTGTTACACTATGCATTTTAAATTTGGTTATAATTACACGACCAGTCAAAAGTTTCTGAACAGTCAGATGTTTAATGTTTTTTAAAGAATTCTGCTCAGCAAGCCTGCATTTATTTGATCCAAAACACTGCAAAAACAGTAATATTGTGAAATATTTTTCCTTTTTAAAATAACTGTTTTCTATGTGAATCTCTGTTAAACTGTAATTTATTCCTGTGATGAGCAGCTGTATTTTCAGCATCATTCCTCCAGTCTTCAGTGTCACATGATCTTCAGAAATCAGTATAATATGCTGATCTGCTGCTCGAGAAACTATTATTGTTGAAAACAGCCGAGTAGAACTGATTCGAACTGATTCGCTGAAATCTAAACAGGGAGGATAATAGGTGCGCACCAGCCAATGAGATTGTCGTTAGTGCATTAGCTCCGCCCACTACAGGAAAACCAGGCAGTTCTTAAAAGCTGAAGAATTCCACAGGAACTCTGTTATTTTACACAGAATAATTCACACAATCGGGGGGAAAAAAAATATAAAAATCTTGGATTTGGATCGGCTCTCTCTGACCGATACCCGATCCGAGAAAAATGGCACTATCGGAGCCGATACCCGATATGAATATCGGATCGGCGCATCCCTAATTTTAGCCTTTAATAACCCTTCATGATGCATTATACATAAAGGCTTTAAGTGAAGTGTTACCGATTCCTTCACTGTACTACACATGATGAAGGACCTCTATCCAGACGTGTCACAGTGTTGTCACATAAATACAGAAAATAACCAATCATCAATCAGCAGGAGTTGTTTGGCAGATGTTGTAGCTTCTCCGTGTTCTGTATGAGCAGTGTGGCTGTTTTTCTCACGCTATGAATCATGATGAGAGATGAGTTCTCCTGCTGTGAATAAAGCCTGAGCAGTTTCTCATTCCTGCTGCTGCTCAAGAGAGGGTTTGGTCACTGGTTTCACCGAACCCAGTTTTTCCCGTCCGGTTCTGTGGAATGCTGCCGGATGATCTCGATGAGCGCGATCGATCTGACCTTGATCCGTGTAGAGAAGGCTCTCGAGTGACTCGTGGCTCTGCAGCTGTGTTTGAACGTGTTGATCTGTGGCCAAACAGTGTGTTGGTGTCAAGAGCGTCTGGTTTATTCACGTTGGTATTCAAAGATGCTGCTTCAGATGCTTCGCCTCGAACCCCTGACTCTGAGCTGAATCAGCTGCATACAGAGCTCCGATCATCTGCTCATGGAAGAGTTTCATGACGAACACTGGCTAATCTGAGCAGAGATCTTCTGAAACTCTAGAGGAGACACATGTGGGATTTTTCTTTTCTCTCTCCATTTCATCTCATTGATGTTCAGGAGAATCAGTAAAGCTGTTAAACAGTTTTGTCATCTTTCTTTCCTATGCTGACGTTGTTCTTTGCTTGTAATAATATCATCTCAGTTTCCTCGTTTGTATTTTCTGCTCCATTAGAAGAGCAAAGATGGAAACATGCTCCGACTCTAAAAATACAATTTGTCACATCACAGTTTTTCTATATGCTATAAACATGCCATGCAATAGCTAAAGGAATAGCTCAGCCCTGAAACAGCCACCCTCATACAGCATAAAAACACCATAAAAGTGATCCATGCATTATGTTCCTACAAGCCCTACAGCAGCTTTGTGTGAGGAACGACTCAAAGATAAGTCACTATTCCCTGAAAATATCCCGCTCTGATGAATCTGTCCTAATGCATCGCACCACAGAAGACAATCGTACATGTTTGGAACGACATGAGGATGAACAAATCAGGGCAGCGTTTTCATTTCTGACTAGAACCTACTGATGAAGCATAGCTTCCTTCATAGACTATTCTCAAATGCTGTACTTTCGCTAGCATTCCTGACGGAAGACCCAGTCTGTGAAAGTGGCTGCTGTGAATTCTGTCTGAGAAGACTGACCGCAAGTGTGTTTTCCAGCCCATGACAAACCTCTCTACAATAACATGCTATTCATAGCATCTGCACTGTATTATGTGCGTTTCTGTCTTTGTGATGGATGTTGGTGATGGTTGTGGCTCTGCTCGTCTCTCCTGGGTGTGGTGCTTCTAGTGCAATAAACACAGAAAAAGGCCGGAACCGGCAGAGAAGCCAACTCTGAGGTTATGATGTAATCTTGTCCCGTTTCAGATTCGCAGACGGCTTCTGACCGCAGATATGTGCCCGCTGTACAGTGTGTGTGTTTGATGCCTGCGGTTGCTGCCTATATTTGGTCTTCATTCGGCCTGTAGCTGGCCCGTTGACTCGCGCACGCTTGCAGTCTGTGTGTTTCTCTCCGTTGGAAACACCCAGCGGTTCCTCCCAGAACCTCTCCGATCTGCACGCCCAGTAAATATCACACAACAAAAGCATCTAGAGCAGGCTTTATGAGCGATGACGTCACGCCTCGTGGCATCTCTCCACCCTCCTCAAGACTTTCACTCCATACTCACTATAGCTCAGCTCAATCGTCTATCAGCTGGCCTTCCTGCAAATGAAGCACTGTTTCTTAACCAAGTACATGGGCTCTGTGAGTTGGAGTGAGTTGACATGATCTTTTTTGACAGCGGTTACTGGAGTAGAACATCTGTAGATCCTCAGGAGGATTAAATAATGATTGTTTTTTATTATTATTATCTAAATAATTATTATATTATGGCTGCAGAGAAAATGTTCTAATTATAAAACCTGTATTTATTCCAAAAAGCCCCCAACAGATGGGTGCTTGCATATATTTGTCATAGTGTTGATGAGTAATTTTAAATTATGGAATATGTGTCTGCAGATAATAATTTACATAAAACACATTTACATCCTCTTTCTCACTCACTCTCTTATTGGCTTCTTGCAGGGTGTTATTTTACTTAGTTATAAATAATACATATGTGTGTGTGTATGTGTCAGTGTCAGTGTGTGTGTGTGTGTCAGTGTGTGTGTGTGTGTGTGTGTGTGTGTGTATGTCAGTGTGTGTGTCAGTGTGTGTGTGTGTCAGTGTGTGTGTGTGTGTCAGTGTGTGTCAGTGTCAGTGTGTGTGTCAGTGTGTGTTTGTGTGTGTGTCAGTGTGTGTGTGTGTGTGTCTCTCTCTGTGTGTGTGTGTGTGTGTAAGATCATGTGACACTGAAGACTGCAGTAATGATGCTGAAAATACAGCTGCGCATCACAGAAATACAGTACAGTGTAACAGATGCTCACAGAGAAAACAGCGGTTTTACATTATAATAATATTTCACAATTTTTACTGTACTTTGGATCAAATAAATGCAGCCTCAGTCTAAAGTGTTTCAGCATCAGAGCTGCTCATAACTGATTACAAGGGATCTGGATTATGTAATCAGATTCCAAAAATCAAGTACTCGTAATTAGATTAAATTACATTTTAAAATACTCCTAATCAGACTGCAGTTACCGTTTTAGAGATTACATTACTACACATTACTTACACAATAGCAATCATTTTCATCTTTTAAATGTTCCTTTCTAAAACAGCCGACCGCTTATATAAAAATACATATACAAAAATCATTTCAGGTTTAAGAAGTGTTTCAAGATGAAATCAACTACTGATGAACACATTAATTTTTATTTGAGTGATCAATCAGTCGGTTTCTTCATCGTGTATCACTTTGGAAGGTGTTTGTCTTTCAGACACATTAAAATGCACACATTCATCAACTTTGTTGTCATCTGATCCTCTTTCTGCAAATATATTTTCATCTGAAGTACTCTGAGATTTTAAAATAAATATATATATATATATTTTAATAATGAAGTGTCACATTTGCATGTTCATATGCAGGTAAACAAATACAATATTTCAATTTTCTTCAGTAAGTGCTTTATTCTTACTCATTTTAAAGTTAGTTTGCTGCCTTCAGCGAATAATAATGCTGTTACTTTGTAGACATCATTCACAACAACAACGACCTGAAAACTCTTGTCTTCGCTTTATTTGAATTTGTATTACATTTTAAACAATACCTTAAAAAATAATAATAATATGAATTGTCCTGCAACTGGGTTTATCAGATGTACTACAGCTCCTTATATGAAATGATAACACATTACATCCTAATAATGCAAGCGGATGAGTGTGTCTGTGCACAGATGTTCCAGTCGTCGTCTCTCTGGCTCAGCCGGGTCTTGTGGTCTGGAATGACTCTGGAATGTCTGTGAACACCCAAAGATGCTGGCCTTACAGAGGCTTTTCTATAAATACACTCCGGCCTGGTTCTCATGGCTCTGTGTGACCCCAGAGTAACAAAGTAAAGGATATGCTGACACAGCACAAACACACATTTAATCATCATCATCATCATCATCATCATCATCATCAGACAGCAGGCCGCTCTCCAGAACGGAGCCGCTTCATCCCGGTCTCAGGAGGACACCAGTTTATAAAATAGCACTGAGGCACAACTATGCAGAAGCTTTCCCAGAACACTAAAATGACAAGATGAAAAAAAATAAAAGATATAGCATTCATTAAGTAGTATGTTCACAAAAATGAATAAATACTGAAACAAATGTATTGCTTATTGTTAGTTAGTTAATGCATTAACGGTAGTTAATGGGATCTTCTTGTAAAGTGTTACTGCTTACATCTAAAAAAATTATTTGTAATGTCATGTGCACCTGAAAAAAAAATTGTAGGCAAAACAATTTTGTACAATAACTTACTCTTTAA